GGAATTGTGCTGAGTTGCCCTTCTTTTGACAAATATTACTTTCTGCTTATTTATATCAAAATAATCATCATCATCATCATCCTCCATTGATTACTCAAGTCTCTTGTTTATGCTCTTCCACACTCTGTCTACACTTACCTCCAATACACACCAAAGTTATTAAGAATTGGAAGAACCAATTGTTTGCCCAGCCCCATAATCACCTGTCCTAAAAGGGCATTTGCACAGGTACTCAAACCTGCAGCCCTGGGAGGAAGAATGTGAGCCATGCAGCCAGCACAGCATGCTGAAGTGGGGCTTTCTGTCAGTCTAGGACAGTGGTTCTCAACCTTCCTAATGCCGCGACCCTTTAATACAGTTCCTCATGTTGTGGTGACCCCCAATTTCATTGTTACAAATTGAACATAATTAAAGCATAGTGATTAATCACAAAAACAATATGTAATTATATATGTGTTTTCCGATGGTCTTAGGCGACCCCTGTGAAAAGGTTGTTTGACCCCCAAGGGGGTCACGACCCACAGGTTGAGAACCGATGGTCTAGGATGATGCAGACTGATCCCACCAAGGAATCGGTTAACAGGGACATTTTCTGTCATTAGGCAGGGGGAGAAAGGCTAAACAGCTTTCTGGACTTTACTGAATTAAAGCTTCATACCATTTCATGAAACCCCTCTGGGAAACTTCAAGCCAGAATGCTGGCCATGTATTGAAATGTAAACTAACACTGGTAAAAAAGAGGGGGTAGGTGGGCATCTTAAACAAATATGAATTACCAGTGTTTGTTTTTCTGCTACTTTGGATCTGTTACACCACTGCTCCCTTTCACAGGTACAAATGCATAAAAGAGGGCTTCCGTTTCATAAAAGCAGCCCAGACAAACAACACTCCTCGGGGTGCTGAACCCAAAGCTGGCAGCCAGCCTGGTCTCTGCGCTCCAGTCTGCTGGTACTTTTCACTTCCACAGCTATCAGCCTGCTTCAGGCCTCTGCCTTCACTCCGACTAGGGACAAAGAGACCATCACAGTGGAAATCCTCTGTATGCTGCTAATAAGCCTATTTAGAGTCAATGAGAAAGACTCATTTTGCACCAATAAAAGCCTTCACGAGTTCTACTGAATCAGTAAAACCAAAATGTTTCTGTGTCCTCCCTGTCCTCATTTTATATCCATCTGTGAGGGGAAGCTCAGCAAAATGTTGGCCACGATGACCTCTAAGTTTCCTTCTTCTCTAAGGTCCTCTGCTTTTCTGTTGGCTAATAGGATTTGAACTCTATTTAAATCATCACACATTCTTATGGATTCCTGAGCCCTTCTTCAGTTTTTGAAAACTCCACTGTGATCTGCTGAATTGGCATATTTGGAATCTTGGGTCTCTCTGGGCAAAACATTGAATACTACTCTGATCTAGCTGCTTAGCTAATATTGTCTATCTTCTTTCTGAAAAAGATGTGGGAAGGAGACAGAGGTAGAGCATGCTCCCACCTCCCACAGCAATACCAGGGAAAGCTTTGGTCACGGGTTCGATTCCTGATCAAGGGCACATACCTAGGGTTGCAGGTTGGATCCCCAGCCCAGTCGGAGCATGTGCAGGAGGTAACCAATCTATGTATCTCTCTCACATCAATGTTTCTCTCTCTTTCACTCCCTCCCTTCCACTCTCTCTAAAAGTCAATGAAAGAAAATAAATCTAAAGATAGGAAAAATTGAATTTAGCAAGAATTCTTAGAGTTAACTCACTTGCCCAAGATCACTCAGCTAAAATTCAGTGTTTGAGTATCTAAGCAATGAAGCTGAGCATTTTACTAGACACAGAAAACATAATAGAAACATGTAGTTCTTCTTAGGTCTTATAATTTTAGTTGATAAAAGTGCACGCATTTTGAACAGGTTTTTACTTACTCTGCAAAGAAAAATACTTAGCTAAATTATTGCCTGTCTGGATGGTAAGTAGCATACTACCTTCATCTGTAAAATAATATTTTCGTAGACTAGAGGGTATTTTGTTTAAAGGAACCCAGAGATGAATTATTTTGATAAATTAAGGCTCACACTCTAATATGTGTGTTTTATAATGCTGCAACTTACATAGAAATATGTCTCAGTGAAATATTTCTGAAAAGACGTATGGTTGTTTCATTTTATATTCACTGACTGGAAAGTCAGTATTTTAGAAACCTGTGGTGAATCCATTTAATATAAACAATGTGTCTGTGTTGCAAATATTAACCTCCTGATTTATTTTAGAATTTTAATTTTTCCATATCTTAAAATGAGACATGTTCATGTCATGTTACATAAATCATTTCCATTTATTGATAATACATTGTATTAGTGATGATTATTTCAGCTGCAAATAATAGAAAAGTCTATGCAAACTGGCTGTAAATGAGAGGATTTATTATTATCTCATATCTCAAGAATGGAAGGGCATTCCAGGCTGGTTAATTCAGAAGTTGAAAGATGTCAGCAGTGACTGAGGTTTCCTCTGCTTTTGTGTGGTGCTATCATCAGCATGATTTCCCTGCTGCAAGGCCAGCCACTCATTGCAGACATAACAATAACCAGAAGAACTCCCCAGCCTCCACACGCTGAAGGGTTCTGTAGGACTTTCCCATGTATCTCTTTGACCAGAACTGCATTAAAAGGCACTCTTTCAATGAAAACTGGCAAGCAGGATAGGGCCACCATAACTGGATCAGACCAATCAGAATTAACTGGGTCACATGGGGTATACAGTAAAACAAAATTGTTGTTCTGTACGTCTGTCAGCCTAGACCTACATGTGGCTAGTGGCTATCATTTTGTCCAACACGATAGCCACTAGCCACATGTGGCTATTTATATTTAAATGTACACTAATTAAAATTAAATAAAATTTAAAATTCAGGTTCTCAGTTCCCTAGCCACATTTCAAGTGACCAATAGCTACATGTGTCCAGTGGCTACTCCATGGGACAACATAGATATAGAAAATTGTCCTCGTCATAAACAGTTCCACTGGATGGTGCGGACCTAAAGAACGGGAACTTCTGTTGGATAAGTAGGCAGCAGTACCTGCTGCACTCTCTATATAGCAGGCAATGAGCTTCATGCATATTATTTCCTCTAATCTTTCCCAGACTATTACAATAGGTTAGTCTGGACACTAGGTTGCTAGCTAAGGATGGGAAAACTTAATTCGAAGTATCATGACCTATTCCACATCCCTGCAGGAAGGGCAGAGTTAAGAAATTGATCACAGTCAGAAACCTTTCCATGTGTCAGCTCTGTTCAGTCTACATGTCAATATCATGCTTCCAGGACAACTTTCTCCTCAGGGTGAAGAGCCCCACAATCTTCTCAACCTCCCATCTCATAGCCTCACCCCACACTCCCAAGAGAAACCACTCTTTCTCCTTCAGCTTCATTTTAAATATGTCTTGGGAGGACTCTGATGATCCAGTGTGGGTCAAGCACCCAGCCTACAACCCAATCAGTTTGGCTGCAGAGACACTGGGGCAGGAATGAGGGCTGTGGAATAGAGATAGGTCCTAGGGGATATCTCTAATGGATACCCATGGGTATTGAGGAAAATTCTCAGGAAAAGAAAAAAAAGGAATTCCAGGGTCCTCTCCTTCACCACATTCCCCAAAGTCTGAATCCCTTAAGCACTGACTCAGGCCCTGTGCAGTTTGTTCTTCACATGCGTTTTGGGTCTCGCTCACCTCACCTTATTTACAGGCTAGTGTGTCCCACCTCTATCTCTACAGCAAGATCTCTTTTCTCAGTTTCAGAGTCACATAGCCAACTAATTAGATAACTTTCATATCCATCCACTTTTCTCCATTGTCACCTGGGCCACTGTCACCTCTGGAGAAATTACTATAGTATCTAATTAGTCTCTCTTTCTCAATGTTATGCTACAGCCTGAATAATCCCACTAAAATGGAAACCCCATTGTGTCACTGATCATAACAAATTTCAACTGCCTCATGAAACATATAAAATCTTACACGATCTGTCCTTTGGCTAGGTCCCTATCCTTTTCTCTTACTAGTCTCCCACCTGCTCTCTATTCTAGCCATATTAAACTTGTTCAGTTCCTCAAACTATTATTCTTTCTCTAGTCTACTGGCCTTTGTGCTTCCCTCTATCTGAAATAATAATCATACTAATTACCTCTTCATTTTGTCTAAATCCTTTCATAATGCAAATAAATAGCCCTTTATATGTAACTGTTTTGTACTATTTTTAGGGTTAGGAATATCACATTTTCCTAATATTGAGCCATCTGTATATTCTTTCTTTCTGTTTTAATGAATTGACTCCCTCCAATGAAGTTTAATAAGCATTGAGGGAAAGACAATTTTTTCTAATGTTTCTATACTTTTCTACCCACTGCTTCATCTTCACTGACCCAAGTCTTATTGCGGATTTCCAAATAAATGATTATCCAAAATGGTTTGCTGTCACATGATTGCCAATATTCCCTTTCCATTGCCGAGTCCTTCAGTGTAATATTCCAGAGATCATGTTCATCCAGATGCATGTGAATTCCACCCAAACAAGCTAATGCCAGAGTCCACTGTGTGATTTACAGAAAGGAATACCTACACTCCTGAATTCATTTTCACTCTGTAGAATGGTTTTTCTCTGTCTTAAGTTATTCCCTGAAAAAATGCAAGACTTTATGTACCCTTAAAGCTCCATTTAATCAAAGGTACTTCCTTATGCTTCCACAATTCAAGCAGTATTAGTGCTTCTCAGACCAAGAGAATTGATCTGCGCCCTTAGTAACCAGGGAGCATCACAAAGACAGGACACTTAACCTCAGATGGCCATTGGAAAAACATCCAGGCCACCCAGAACAGGACAAAATAGTAGAATGGGTTAGAAAATTCAGTCTTGTGTTGGGAAAAGCCTTCAGAACAGGAAAGGATTAAAGAAAGAATCAAGCATCAAATAAGATTTCAGTCCCTTCATCACCTTCAGCTAGCTTTATGGTTTTAGACAACTCACTTAGGCCAGATGGACCTCAATTTTCTTTTCTGCAAAATGAAAAAATTGAGAAAAAATGGTCTCTATGGACCTTTGCAATTCCATCACTCTATGTGCATTTATGACTGACAGTGCAGTATCCTTTTAAAGTTTTCAGAATATTCCTGAATCCTGACATGGCAAACTTTGTAATATACTTTGCAAATTTTGGAGATACGGGTGCATCTGTATACTATTAACTGAGCTCTCCACTTCAAATTTTTCTAATGAGGAAACACACACACACACACATACACACACACACACATGCATTACTTTATCTTTACACTTTACCGATTTGAATATTTACTGAAGGTTATACATACAACACAAGCTCTAGATTGTAAGCTTCGCATTTGACAATTTAGTCTCAGTTAGATGATCTACTGTAAGGCACCTTTGGTAATCTTCAGCACAGTTGAGTATCTATTCTGTTAATTAAATGTCAGATGCTGTTGCTAACTCCATAAACTAATTCTAATACCCCCTGTTACTCAAAGTGTGGCCCAGAGCCTACACCATCCATACCACCTGCGACTGGTCGGAAGCTCAGAGTGCCTCGCCTTATAACTAACTACACAATCAGAATTTGCATTTTAACCTGGCGCTCAGGTGATTTGTCTGCACACAAGTTCTAGAATGTTATTATACATTATATTGCTTCCCACACTACTTTAAAATAGGCGAAATTGTTTTCTATAAAGGAGTGAAAAAATGAGCAAACTAACTGTAATTTAGCAAAACGAATGGCTATAACTCAGTGCCACTAGCTGTGGAGTTCTAGAAGCTTGCATTTGAAAGTTTCTCTTGTGGGTTTTTTTTTAAAAATATAGTCCTTGGTATACTTTTATAAATGGCAAGGGGCCAGGGAACTGGATGAAATGGTTTATTCTGTTCCAGACCCACTTACAAATACTAAATATATCATTAAAAATCAAGGTGAAGAATATTAAAATATTTCCTATTTTTTATAGGATTCGGTAACAACCAATATGTTATTTTTATTTCACATTACAGCTGGCGGTTTTAAAATTCCATAATGCATTGCTGTCATACATAAAATATAAAGAGAAAAATACTTTTCAACTGTAAGGTAAAAACTCTGAAATAAGTAAATAATAAAAGAATTTGAGGATATAAGCGTAAAACAAATTCAAATAAAACAGACCAGGATTCTAATTGCAGCTCTGACACTGTGATTTTTAAACAATTCACTGAATTTCTCTGGGTACCAGTTTCTTCGTGTAGAAAATGAGAGGATGATTTTGATTTTACATCCCAGCTGTAAAATTTTGAAATCCAGTTATGTCTGAAATCAATGCCTATTTTGTCATCTCACATGCATCTATTGGAATTCAATATGGAATATCAGAAGTGGCATAAATAAGTTACTCTGGGATTTCTGCTATTTCACTTGCTAAGAACAGCAGCATGTGGACTAACTGCCACTTCATGGTGCTAATGTAGACACTGTCCCCAACAGAGTTTACTCTAGGCAATAGGCAAATGGGGACGGCAGAACACATTTTAACACAGGGACAGTTCTCTTAGCTTCCTTTCATTCCGACTCCTCAACACTAACTGTGTACATCCCATCCCCCTCCTAACTACCCCATTCACTCATGTGGTCTCCAGGAGTCCTGGGTGAACCGGTGAAAGCTCCCACCTTCCATAGTCTCCCAGAGTGTATAGAGGTCTATTGAGAGGTAGTTACACCTGAAAAGATACCTCGTTACTCTGGCACTAGGCAGTAACTGACAGGCCTTTCAGGGGGCTAATTATTGAGCCTCCTATTTGGTTCAGTGACAGAACTGCTTGTTTGTGAGAATAAACATATTTGTACACTGCTTTTTCCATTACCATTATTTCTATCATCATAAATAAGAATCAATAGGCCATTTCAAGTAGCATCTGCTCACCATCATTTAGCATCTGAGTGTCAGGCACATGCCGGCTAAGCAGCAGTGTCCCAGCCTCCTGGGTGAGGATTGAAACTCAACAGACAAGGAAAGCACTTCAAATTCAATAAGACAGTGTCTCTGTGAGCAACTTGAGGACAAGGGTGGTCTGCTCTTTGTCTCTATATCTACGGCACAGTGTCTGCTACAAGCAGGCTATCCTAAATGAATAAACAAGTGAATTAATAATGGAGGGATAGATGGAAGTAGCAAAAGGAAGGCATTAAGAAGCTATATGGAACCGACTGCATTTATTGGGTTGGTCAGGGAGCGTTGTTTTAATAAAGAAAGAGCTAGTCACAACTCGTGTGGGAGAAGTGAAAGTCGAGGCCAACAGTGTGACCAAGGGGGAGTCCGCCTTTAAGGAGCAGCTCAGCTGAACATACTCAAGTCCCTGCAATATTCACTAGTAGGCCTCTCTAACAGACAAAAAGTCAGCATGACAGCCATTACAACAGTTAAGTGACACCTCAAAAAAGCACAAAAACAAACTCTCCACTACCGGTGAGAGTCTTGCTGAACAAAACAATGTCAGGGAAGGAACTGACCAGAGAAAAGGTGGGAAAAAGAAAAAAATGAGGCGAGGAGAACAGTGGAAGAAGAGTTCAGGCAGAGGCCCGACTGGGGAAATAGGTGTGTGAAAAATGTGCCAAGGCGGGGAGAGATGATGAGGACCCACAATTCTCCAGGGAGGGTGTGCGCGTCTGTTTGAGGAGTGGGAAGGCATTAAGTGTGAAAGTGGAACAAGGGAGGGAAAAATGGAGAGGTCAGATAAATGTCTCTAAAATAACTCCCATCACCCAATGATAACAAGTATAAAAGAATCCCTTCTTCTTCTTGAGAAGACAAAGGGAATTTTAAGTAGGATTAAGTAGTCCTGGCTTTCAGAACTCAGCAGCTCTCTCAGAAGCAATAATAACCACATAAGTAGCTAGATGGATGGTAGGAATTACTTCACTTTGGAACTTGGCCAGATATCAAAGTTAACAGTAATATCACGTCTTTCTGAAGGTTTTCCTGAGATTCTAGGGGGAAGATCATCTCAGAAAACGGCGCTGCGTTAATTTTAGGAAGAGGATGCTCCTCACTGCTTGAGGACACTGTCTCCTGCAGATTGAGATAAAGAAGCCCTGCCTTGCTGTGAAGCACTCTCTTACCCACATAAATACATTGCGAGTATCGCTCCCAATGGAAGAACATAATTACGTTCACAGATTACCATCACTCAAGGTAAAATTTTGCTTAAAACTTAACTCACCATTGATGTTCCAAATACAGGAAAAAGGACCCGGTAGGCATCCTGTTTCCACAGAGTTCCCTAATTTTTTGACTCATTGTGGATGGTTAAAACTCGAACCTTGTAAGGCCAAATTTTGCAACTGGCACATCTGTCCACATTCATTTCTGAATTAGATGGAATTGGAAATATAAACAATTTTCACACCCTGTGCACTTCTTAACTGATGAATACCCTGCCTCTGAAGTATATTTGACCATTAAGGTGCAAGATCATCTTCACTCTTCCCCAAAAACAGAAATGAAAACTGGGTGTTGATGGTCATTTGGGACACAAGTATTTTCTCTCACCATTTGGAAATGTTCATGTGGTACTGTTTGTTTGTTTGCTTGCTTTTAAATGTAAGTTAGGATGTTGCATTATTTACTTATTTTCTCCCCAGGGAGAAGTTATTTCAGTATCACCAACAATGGAATTTGGATGATACTGAAATAATGGAATGTATTGAACCTGTTCCCTAAGGGTGCATTTGCCCTAGCACTTGGAGTAAAACACTATTTCCATTGCACTAGAAATAGTTCTAATTGGACAGATTGCTGCAATTTTAACAACACCCAAGAAAATCAAAGGAATCTGAAGCAGACGTGGCACCAGGTCAGGATCCTACTACAACCTAGGTCAGTGTTTATGCCTGAAATAAGTACCCAATTCACACCATCTACAGCTACCAGAAGGACCATATACATCAACATGTGGGAAAAAAATGTGAATTTAGGGAAACTGTGTATTCTGAAAACAGTCTGTTACAAGTTATGCAATTAGTTAATAGCTAATTTCCTACCAATTTTATTATGTAACATATATAAAAAAGAAAAGTGTATTCATCATTTCAGTTACTGGTACATTTTCATTAAACAGTCTAACAATAGGATATGAATGTACAGATGATCGAACACAGTCAGAATTCAGAATTAAGTGCAGTGTAAAATATATCTGAATGAGAAATACAGAGAGGACTCTGCATAAACTCTCAAATCCTTCTATAAAGTGGCCCCTCTTTATTTCCCATTATTCCTTACCATGCTCCCTCCTATCCAGTAAGGCAGACCTCATCCCTCTCCACATCCTACTTTCTGTCTCTGCCCTGCTCACCCACCATGTCCATCATCTTGGATGCTCTTTCTCAAATCTTTCTTATTATCAAGCGCACCTCCTCCATGAAGTTTTAAATTTAAAACTTGAACTTACAGTTATACATTTTCTGAAATTCCTTAATATCTATGCCCAAATTTAGCATTTAATTACAGAATTTCCCCCCTCTGATTATGTGCATGTTTGTCTATATCTTTTTTTCAACTTAGTCACATTATTTAAAATAATACCTCCTCTTCATGCCGCTCCCTAAAATTCCTGTCAATATCCTACTCCACATTTAATTTCTCTTTCTCTAGCTATTCCTTCTGAATGCTCAGTCTATCTGAAATCAGGATTACATGTGCTCTATCCTAGAGAACATTTCTGCACCCCTGCTTCTTCCTCAAGTTCCCCTACTATATCTACTTCCTTTTTCTGCCAAACTTCTTGAACAAGCATTCTTTCCTCCACTTCCTCAAGCCCAGTTCCATTTCACAATGTGAGTTTCCCTATTACACTTCCTATGCCTCAGCCACACCTCTCTGCAGCGCTGTGTGCACCCCATCTTATTTCCTGGAGACCGAGAAGACAGTGACTGCGCCCTCCCCACCCCCTTCATCTCCTTCCAAAACTCACCTGCTGTTTCCTTTTCTAGCTCCTTCTCCAGAGTCTTCACTTGTCATCCCTCATCTCTGCTCAAGCTCCAAGGGCAATTGCATCTCTGCCCTAATCTTTAACTTCCAGGTCTCCATCTGCCATTCCCTAATATGTATTTTTAGTGCCGAAAGCTCTGTGGGGTCCCAGACCTTATGCTGCCACCTGCTGGGCAGTTCCATGGGGCTACATCAAAACCAAATTCAAGTCAGTGCCTCCAAATTCACCATTCATTCTGTCTTCTCTGTTAGGTAGGTACATAACTATTTTCCTAGACCTAGCTGGTAGAGTTTTAATATTCCATCACTAACTACCACCCCTAGTGTTAGTTACTCCCCATGTAGTATAAATACTACCTACTAGACTTCTGTCCTCTGTGGTCTGCCCCTAACTCACATGTCTTTGTTTAGGCCATAACTGCCCATCGCCAGAACTGGATGGGCCCTAACTAACCCTTTTCCTTTCTTATCCCTGATCTCCAATTCTCCTCACACTTCTCCAGAGGAATCTTCTTAAAATAGGCATCTGAGCAATGCCTTGGGTTAAAAGCCTCAAGTAATTCTACCCTACAGGTAGGATAGAGCCCAAACGCCTCAGCTCTGGAGTTTCTGGAAAGAACTTCCAGAACTTGCATGACCGGGCCCCAGCCCATCTCTTTAGCTTCATCTGCCCTCATTCTCCCTCTCACTAACTATCCTCACTCTCACTCACTTCAGCCTCCTCTGCACCTTGAACAAAAGAGATTTGCCCTAGACCCTGCAACGGGCTGCCCTCATGTCTTCACGTGACTGAGACCTTCTGGCTTTTCAGGTCTCGTTGCAAATGCCATCTACTTGGTGCAGCCTCCTGTGATCGCACAATCTAATCGCTCCCCTCCCTGCCATGCCTCCTGGTCACCCTTGCACAGTCTCTTCTGGTGTTTTCTGTAAGCACGTCTCAGCATCTGGAAGTCCCTGTTCCTTTATGCATTTGCTTATTTAGTGTCTGTCTCCTCACACTCGGATGCAAGCTCTCCTCACCCAGCCCCCTCCACAGCGTGGCACCCATGTGCACATCCCCATGCCTGCTCTGCTCATATGTCCACTCTAGCACTTATCATAGCACATCTTTTATTTGAACAGCTCATTCCAAAAGAAGTGAATAGAGGGAAAGGAGGATATATCAAAATACGGGCATGAGGGAGGCATATCTGGTTATAAAATACCTGTTCAAGTTTTGTAGTATTCAGTATAGAGGATTTATGCATCTTTGTTAACATTACCCATAATGTTTTATGGTTTTCTTACCATTCTATAAACAGTAGCCTTTAAATTTCATTTTTCGTGTGTTAATTTCTTATATAATATGATATATATGTAAAAAGGATTTTTTAAAGTTTATACTGACCTTATACTTGTGACCTTGCCAAATGTACTACTTAGTTCTAAGTAAGTTATAATAGTCCATACATAAGATCAAAAAATGGGTAATTGAAAATGTTTAATTCTTACATTTAAAATGTGAACCACCTTTAATATTGCTATTGTTTTTAAGCATAAGATATATAAAATGAAAAATCATAGCTGCTAGTGCTATGCAGAATATGGGAGGCAATAGATTATAGGAGCTATGGATTGAAATAGTATTTTTTTAATCAGTGTCTTATAGCAAATTATTATGATCCATCATCTTTACTGGAGAGCAATATCATGTCTTGCTTATTTGCCCATACTCCCCCCAGCCCAATCTTAATAAAGTGCTTTGCCCCAAGTAGAAACTCAATAAATGCTTTTTTAAATAGGACTGAAATATCCCAGCACCTGGCACATACCCAACAAATACTTGTTGTCTAACTGTAAGAACCAATGAGTACACCTAAGTTTGTTGAATGAGCAGTGTATGCTCAGCCCTTCCGGGAAATTATGACAAGAGACAGAAGAAAACAGAAAATACCCTCATAGTTACCCATGTAGAAACACTTCATTTCACAGGTAATGATAGCACAAATGCACCAAGGAAAACATTTAAGTGGCTACCTGTGCATTTCTTCATATGACTGTTCCTTTTTCCATGTGATACTAACTTGCATCCAAAATTCTCCTGCCAAAAGTCTGCAAACCACACATTTCTTCGATTATTGGCAAGAGTTCGGCTTCTAAAGTATCGATCAAATCCTATTTTAAAGAAGAAAGGTATGATTTTAATATTCTTTCAAAATCAAAACCAAATACTATCAGAGCTTTTAAATGAATATTATGTTATACTGTGATTATTCCATGGAAAAAAAATGGAGGAGAACCAAAGGCTTCCCTTATGGCAAACGCCAAGCAAAATCAGTGGACAATATCTCTGCCCCCACCATTCACTATTCATGCACCTGTCACTAGGGATGGGTATAACAGGAAAGCCTGTTGTTGTCATCTCAACCGCTCCCTCCACTAGGTCTCCCAGTGGCAGTGACCAGGGACCTCATGTTAAATAGTCAGAACCAACTCAGACTTTCTCTCTCTCTCTCTCTCTCTCTCTCTCTCTCCTTTCAGGAGTTAATGTTCAAGACTTCTATGCTTTTACCCACCTCAAAATTTATCTGTCCTATATGTTCCATTTTCAACTAATTCAATTAACTAATCAGTACTAATATAATCTTCCGAGTCATGGGTAATGGGCTAAAGTGTCAGCCTGCTCAGGTAATGACCACATTGAAGGGAGACCAGCTGGAAATAATGCCTTACTCCAAAGGGTAATGGAAAAGGTAGAAATTTCAATCACTGTCAGCACCATTGGCAAAGACATTTGGGAGACAAGCTGCCTTTCAGGGATGCTCCACATCTTTGCTGTAGGGTTTGTATTCATAGGGTCAGCCCAGCATCACGTCTTCATATTCTATGAAGCAAGCCCTCTCCCTCTAACAGTGCTATAACCGTCAGATATGCCCATGGAAATATGCAAACTTAGAGGGTAACATCATGAAAATGGCTAACATCGTGGAAATATGTAAGGTCAACTATAATTGCCTTTCTTAAAAAAAAATCCAGTAGGTACTCTTCTAATAAAAAATACATGTGCTGGGTTAAATAGTTACTGTCTTGGCAATGTTGCCATCAGAACTAAAAATTCTTTCCAGAGTCATCAATAATGGGTGTGTTTCATCATATGCTGATCCTCTGGTTTCACCTTTGAGTTTAGATTTAATTGGAATGAAAACAAATTCTCTACCATGCATCCTTACCATCAATTGATGCTCTTTTGGGCAAAATCGTCACAGCCCCTTCTGCAATCTCCTCCTGCTGATAAACGGGTGCTATTTTGGATCCCCAACTATCTGAGCCGATCCAGAGAAAATGCCCACTTTGGTTTAATTTTTTTGCAGCTTCCAATATCCTCCTATCATAATAAAAAGAAACATACCACATTTATCAAGAAACACTACAGTTATGAATGTTACAAGATGGCTATATCAAGTTATATACATTCAGTAGGGCACCAATAGACAATCATTCTAACTACCTGAGTCGTATCATCTTCTAAAGGAGATATATTGGCGGGTTTAACTCCAGCACCTGTTAATTAGTCTTATCCTCAACCTTATTCCCTTCATTCTATCAACCTTACTTGTCTCACTTCTTTCAATCCCCAGATTTTACTCAATAGACATTTCAGACTTAGGAACTCGAAGGCTGTTGTGTCTCCGTGCACCAGAAGGCAATCTGTAAATTGCATACGAATGTTTCAATTCCTGTGAAATCTCACAAGACTTTATATTGAACATGAAATATGTTAGAAAAAAAAGGATGTGGGCCACAAATCTGATCCTGCATAAGGAAGAAAATTAATCAGTACCTGATGTCATCTTCATTGGCAAACATAATCACTGCCCGGGCGTTAGGTGTTTCTAGCAGGCGTTTGATAATCTTTTCAAATTCTCCAGGTCTTGGTTCACGTGGGATTTTCTGTGATTGAGCAATGCAAACACCACCTATTTTTTTAAAAAAGAAGACAGTCACTTAGAAAGGGCATTTATTTAACCAACTTAATGAGGTTAGCTACTTTATAAAAACACATGCTTTGGTACAGAATATTGCTTCTCTCTTTTGTGATGGGAATTTTTAAGGTACACTATCTTAGCAACTTGTAAGTATATAAAACAATATTATTAACTATAATCACTGTACTGTACATTAGCTCCCCACAACTTATTCAACCTGGCCCTCTACCCCTGGTCACCACCATTAAACTTCACTTAGTGTACTGCCCTCAAGTTCCATTCATGTGGTCACAAATGGTGGTATGTCTTTCTTTCTCAAGACTGAAATATACATGCATATGCACACACATATATAGTCACATCTTTATTTGTTTATCTGTTGATGAATACTTAGGGTATTTTTATATCTTGAGTATGGTGAATAATGTTACAAAGAAAATGGGCATGCAGATATCTCTTCAAGATTCTCTTTATATTTCCTTTGGATACATAACCAGAAGGGGATTGCTGTATCATATGGTAGTTATAGTCTTAATTTTTGAGGAACATTCATACTGTTTTCAGTAGTTCCTGTACCAATTTAGATTTTTATATCTTGAGTATTCAATAGTGCGTAACGGTTCCCTTCTCTCCATATCGTCACCAACATTGTATATCTTGCCTTTTTTCTTTTTTCTTGAATTTATTGTGATGACACTGGTTAGCAAAATTATACACGTTTCAGATGCACTATTCTACAGCACATCATCTATATACTGTATTGTGTGTTCACCAAGTCAAGTCTCCATCAATCACCATTTATCCCTCCTATACTCTCCTCTTCCTCCCTCCAGGCCCCTGCCCCCAGCAATCACCACACTGTGCCCCATGTCCATGAGTTTTTTCTCTTTTTTTCCTTTGATGCTCAATCCCTCCACACCCCTACCCAACTCCCACCCTCCAACAGCTGTCAGCCTGCTCTGTATCTATGAGTCTGTCACTCTTTTGCTTGTTAATTCATTTTGTTCATTAGATTCCACATATGAATCAAATCATCTGGTACTTGTTTTTCTCTGACTGGGTTTTACTGGCTTATTTCGCTTAGCAGAATACTCTCCAGGTCCATCCATGTTGTCACAAAGCGTAAGATATCCTTCTTTTTTTATGGGCAAGTAGTGTTCCATTATGAAAATGTACCATAGCTTTTATTATCCACTCATTTACTGGTGGGCACTTGGCTGCTTCCAAATCTTGGCTATTGTAAATAACACAGCAATGAACATAGCTGTGCATATATTCTTTTGAATTAATGTTTCAGGGTTCCTTGGATAAATTCCCAGAAGTGAATCACTGGGTCATAAGATAGTTCCATTTTTAATTTTTTGAAGTAACTCCATACTGCTTTCCACAGTGTCTGCACCAATCTGCATTCCCACCAACAGTGCTACTTTATAAAAACACATGATTTGGTACAGAATATTGTTTCTTAAAACATCTGCCTTTCTCACCTATTAAAAGCAGTCATGTTTGTTTGCATTATAATGTATGTATCAAATACATTACATCAATTACTTAATCATACATCATGTTTTTCCCAAGTTTAAGCATTATTTTTGTGGCTGTCTCTAAGAAAACCAAAGTATGCAAAAAGTGTGATGAGAATTAAGGAGTCAAGGACGAAGGACCCTTTTGATTCATTTGATACAAGTCAAAGGACAAGTGCCTGGATTAGTGAAAAGCATGAGTAAGACTTCCTTATGCATGAGAACACTAATAGGAAGGTCCTTTTGACACTTTTATTTATTAATAGAGCTCCTTTAAAGTTATTTTCATTTTATAGCTCATAGTATGGCAGCAAAATTCTTATGCATTAGCATAATGGCATGTTATGAAACAAGTGGTCTTCATGACTATTTGAGACACAGACAAATCCCAAAGATTCAAACCCTCAGTTGACATATGTCTCCATCATGAAAATCAAAATGGTAGAAATCCCATTCCACTATTACAGAAAAGAACTCTTCCTTGGCCTTCCCTTGTAAGGCAAAGAGAGACCAAAAAGAAAAGTTTAAGATAGATCTCTGCCACTGGGCTAGGATAAAAGAAGAAAGGTTTCTTGGTGGCAATAGAGCAGAGAAATAACATGCTAATATTAGGGGTGTGGATAACAATATGTTTCAGTTCTATTATGTTTTAAGCAGGCTTTTTGAGTCAGTTGAATATTAAATCACCATTCATACCATTGTTTTGTAGGAAAAGGCATTTTTACTCCCAATTAGCAATGCATTCAGATACCCAAAAGTTACTGGGTGCCATTATATGCTATGCATTAGGCTGAACACTGGGAATACAGAGTCCTTTGACTTGTATCAAATGAATCAAAAGGGTCCTTCGTCCTTGACTCCTTAATTCTCATCACACTTTTTGCATATAATGGCACCCAAAAGTTACTGGGTGCCATTATATGCTATGCATTAGGCTGAACACTGGGAATACAGAGTCCAATCCAGGAGTTATCATCCAGTTTGGGAGATAGACATTCCAATAAATTATCATGGAATATGGGATAAATTTCAAAATTAAGAGAATATACCATAAATGGGAGCACAGAGGAATATGTAACAAAAATGTCTGAGAGAGGTGAAATTTTTTTAAAGGTAAGAGTTTCTTCTTTTTAAAAAATATGTTTTTATTGGTTTTAGAGAGAGAGGAAGGGAGAGGGAGAAACATCAATGAGAGAGAACCATCATTTGGCTGCCTCCTGCACGTCCCCTACTGGGGATCGAGCCTGCAACCTGGCCATGTGCCCTGACATAGGAATCCTATTGGCAACTTCTTGGTACATGAGAGGATGTTCAACTAACTGAGCCACACTGACCAGGGCTGAGAGAGATGGATTTTAAAGGACAAATACAACAACCATATAGGGACAAAAGTGGGATATTTCTGAAAGAGGCCAAGTATGAAAGAACCTTGCTTGATCATGGCCTATGATAGACTGGCTGAGGTTGAAGTTGGACAGAATGGCCAGGCCTACCTTGAGAATCGCAAGTAATTAGGGCTTTATCTTGAAAACATTCATTCATTCCGGACCTATTAAACATTTTTGTTAGTTCTAAGGAATCCACTGAAAATTCATAAACAGGAGAACTACAGAATGGGCTTTATGTTTTAGGAAAAAACATCAGGTAACCAAACAAAGAGGACATGTCTAATAGCCAGACAATAGATGTCCAGTGTATTGTGATCAGACTTAACATGCATGCCAAAAATGAATGATTAACATTCTAGATTACTGGAGGTTTATTTTTCTTTATGTTAAAGCAGTCAAAATTATCCCTGCAATATCTTTACTAACCTTACAACATGGTCTTCAGGGGAGGGAACTGCACATAATCCATAGACTGAGCATGTAGTTAGCTAGCCTACTGATATGCCATTAATAGTTGAGATGATGGATTCATTCTTTCAGTAAATATGTATTGAGTACCCACTGTCTGCTAGATTCTATGTGGGGGCCATGGGATGTCATGGTGAACATAATAGATATGGTCTCTGACTTCACAGTGTTTAGAAATGTGCATGAGCCAGGCTTAATGCAAAACAAAACACACACAAAAAAGCGCATAATTATAAATTATGGCAAGTCCTGTGGGGAAGAGTGAGGGAATTTAATTTAGAGGGAGGAATATTCAGGAAAAGCCTCCCTAAAGTGATGTTACTTAGTTGAGGTCAAAAACGAGAGAAACTGGGAGAGGAGAACATGGAAAAGGGCAGGGAAGAGCCAGTGGAGGGCAGGGAAGAGCCAGTGGAGTTCATGAATGATGGGGAGAGAAATGTAAGACAAAGATGAGAGGTGAGTGTGAGGCAAGAGGCCAGATTATGCACGGTTGTGCAGGCCTATGGGAGATTATGAATAATTAAAATGCTTAAGTTCCCCCCTAAATGTTTTAGTAGCCCATAAAAATATGTCTTGTCTATGCATTTTACGAAAGAAAAATGGATGAGGATTTCTGATGTAGAAGGCACCCTGGAGTGGAAAGAATAGGAGGCAATGAGCCCAGCTGGGAGGTTATGGGGACAGGCAAAGGGAAAACACAATGCTACCTAAACTAAGGAGCATCAAATGGAGCTGTCAGAATGTGAGTTAGAATCTGTGGTGCTTTGTACTAGGTTTTACAGCCTATTGAAGTATGATTGGCAAATGAAAACTGTATACATTTAGGTTGTGCTGATTTGATCTAAGTAGGAGGCAATGAGAAACGACTAAGCATGACTCCAAGGTTTGGGCCTTTGTGACCAATTTATGCAGTGTCACCATTAAGCAAGTAGGAAAAACTCAAGTAGGAGAGTGAGCAGATAGGTGGAAAAGAAAAGCACGATTTTGATTCAGGACAGGTTGTCTTTGAAGTACCCATGAAACATCAAACTGAAAAAGTGGGCCTGGAGCTAAGGAGAGAGAAGGGAGATGTAATTACAATTTTGTCAGATGCTGACACAGTCGGTAGTTGAAGTGTTGGGAGTGAAGAGATCACTCAGAGGAAACATTGAAGTCAACAATAAGAAAAGGTGAATGATGGAGCTAGGAAAACCCACGAGCTTTGGAGAGGGGGCCAGTGAATGAGTCTGGAAAGGAGTGATCACATATTTGAAGGAGGAAACATTTGGGACAAAGTCTAGCAGTAAGTAGAAAACTATAATGTCTTTAAAAAATCAAATAAACACATAGACAAAAAAACTGTGGTGAGCGGAAGCATTAGGTAACTATAAAAATGTAAGACCAAAACTACAACACTCTCTAGGGAACAATAACTGCTTCAAAATATTACTGCCCTTTTAATTAAATTGCTGTGATTACTTAAGCATCCCATTAAAGATGCCATATCCTAAGCATCATTCTGAGATTACTACTGACTTCATAGCCAGCAGATATGAAGGCTGGAAAATTTTTATTAAGACTATTTCATATGAGGCAAACAGGCAATCCAGACATAGACTTCAGCCTGAATGCA